CGGAAGAGGCGCCAGCGCCGCGCCGCTGTGCGGACGGGCCGCGGCTCCGCTTCCTGTTCAGCTGGTTCCAGCCAGCTCGAGGACAAAACACGCGTGCGCGTGGCAGGCCGCCTCAGCCGCCGGCGCCCGGAGCAGTCCGCCTTTCTCCGGAGCAGCCCGGCCACGGTGCTAGTCGATAGCAGCAGCCGCCGCAGCGACTCCGCACTGGAGAACTGAGGGCGGAAAAAGGCGGGGCTGACGGCTCTTTGCTAGGAGTGGGCTGGACCGGACGCCACAGACAAAGGCTCTCAAGGCAAGAGGGGCTGTGGCCCTGCGACGGCGCTGCTCGGGATTTCTAACCCCAGGACTTTTCGCTCCTTCGTTTTTCTCTTCTGATTCTTATCTTATCCCAAGCCCGCGTTCCCTCACGCGGGACCTCGCTCCTCACCGAGAGGGCAGCGATGGAGGTCCCGCCCCGGCTTTCCCATGTGCCGCCGCCATTGTTCCCCTCTGCTCCCGCTACTTTAGCCTCCCGCAGCCTCTCCCATTGGCGGCCGCGGGCGTCGCGGCAGCTCGCACCGCTCCTCCCTTCGCTCGCTCCCAGCTCTGCCCGGCAGGGGGCGCGCCGGGCCCAGCGCCACGTCACCGCCCAGCAGCCCTCCCGATTGGCGGGCGGGGCGGCTATAAAGGGAGGGCGCAGGCGGCGGCCGGATCTCTTCCGCCGCCATTTTAAATCCAACTCCATACAACGCTCTGCCGCCGCTACTGCCGCGACCCGGACCGCGCGCCAACACCCCCCCGCCGATAACTCCGCCACCATGGAGGACATGAACGAGTACAGCAACATAGAAGAATTCGCAGAGGGATCTAAGATCAACGCGAGCAAGAATCAGCAGGATGACGGGTACCGCACGCTTCTCTTCCTCTTTCCCCTTCCCCCAGCGCGCCGCACGCGCCCTTCGTCCCTTGAGAGTCGCGCGATGCCCCCTTTCTTGCCCCGAGTCGACGACTCGCGTACCCGCTGGGCCTCACTAGCTTGGAGGGAAGAGAAAAGTAAGATCGGCGGGGGTGACTCGAGAGGCCCGCGGAGGGTGGGGGAAGGGCGGAAGGGCTGGAGGAGGAGGGCGGCGGCGGCGGCGTTTGTGTCCCCAGTGCGCAGGCGCCTTGTGGGGCCTGGGGGAGGGGCCGTCTCGCTGCGCCACATGCCGCAGTTGCCGCCGCCTCTTCATTGTGTCTCTGCTACTGCTCCGCGCGTTTTTCCTGGGGAGAGTTTAGGGAGCTCTTGCTTTGAGCACTAGTCGACGGCTGACACCCAGTTCCCCAGAACGTATTATGATGAGTTCTGTAGATCGAACGTTGCCTTGACGGCCGAGGAAGAGGGTGGACCTAAGTTGCGAGACATCAGTTAGGAAGTTGGGCTTTCTAACCTAAAGGAATGTGGGCAGAACCTTTACTGCATTTTATTGGCCTCGTTTAAGCTTTGTATTATGCCGTGTGGAGCGTGATCTGTCCTCTGTTTTGAATAAGTGATTTCGATGGAATTTGGGGGGGTTTTGTGGTCTATTGTTTATGTGTATTTGCAAACAATAAATTGTTTGCTCTTAGGGGTAAATTTCCCCGAACTTATTTCACGGTTTAATTAATTCAAGGACTGAAGTAGTCAGTTATTGCTAAACTTAAAAAAATCCAAAAACTTTTATTTCTAGTAAAATGTTTATTGGAGGCTTGAGCTGGGATACAAGCAAGAAAGATCTGACTGAATATTTGTCTCGGTTTGGGGAAGTTGTAGACTGCACAATTAAAACAGATCCAGTCACTGGAAGATCAAGAGGATTTGGATTTGTGCTTTTCAAAGATGCTGCTAGTGTTGATAAGGTAGGGATGTGTTTCGCGTTGTATTTCCTTTGTGTATTTTTTGCAAATGGTTTTGGGGTTTGGTTATGTGTTGCTGTCAGATCAAATAAATCTGTTTTATAGGTTTTGGAACTGAAAGAACACAAACTGGATGGCAAATTAATAGACCCCAAAAGAGCCAAAGCTTTAAAAGGGAAAGAACCCCCAAAAAAGGTTTTTGTGGGTGGATTGACCCCAAAAAAGGTTTTTGTGGGAAAAGGGAAAGAACCCCCAAAAAAGGTTTTTGTGGGTGGATTGAGCCCAGATACTTCTGAAGAACAAATTAAAGAATATTTTGGAGCCTTTGGAGAGGTACGCTGTGTTTACACTTGTCTTACACTTGAGGTGTTTATGAAACGTTCGTCCCTGGCCCACTTTGTGTAGAACAAATTCATATTTCACCGAGAAGAGGATTAAATTACTGTTCACGTCCCTTCTAGTGACCGTATCTTAATTGCTGCTTCTATGCTATAGTGGCAACCAGTAGCTAATTTATTAATATGTAATACCTGATTTATTTTGTCCCAAACATGGGTTCTTTGATTTGGTCAGCGTTTGGGGTTATTAGCTAGTGGCATCTATCGGGTTCGAGATAATGTTAAATAAAAGGTGTATTACGCTCCTCTGAATGCTTCACATACACAGCAAATCGCTTTAGGTTGATATTGATCATAAAGCAGTGGTGTCTAGATAGAAGTTATCCGATGCGAATAATAGGTATGTTGAAATTTGAAAAAGAACTGTGGCATTTTAAAACGCTTTGATGTTGTTTTGCCATTACTGCATGATCTTCAGTGTGCATCTTGGTTTCAGATTGAAAATATTGAACTTCCCATGGATACAAAAACAAATGAAAGAAGAGGGTTTTGTTTTATCACGTATACAGATGAAGAGCCAGTAAAGAAGTTGTTAGAAAGCAGATATCATCAAATTGGTTCTGGGAAGGTAAAGCCATTTAATTAACGTTAAATGAAAATTTTGAGGGATTTTTAGTTTTTATTTATTTATTTTTTAGTAAAGTAACTTCTCAATCTGTTTGAGAATGAAATGGTTTGGTGTTAGAACTTCAGTGAATTTTAATTTTTAATTTTCTTATAGTGTGAAATCAAAGTTGCCCAACCCAAAGAGGTATATAGGCAGCAACAGCAACAACAAAAAGGAGGAAGAGGTGCTGCAGCCGGTGGACGAGGTGGTACTAGGGGTCGTGGCCGAGGTGAGACTTAATTCTTGGGAAATGACTCCATGGTTGAGCTGTAGATTGCTAAAAGAGTAAGCCTATAAGAAAGCTAAATTTAAATTTTAACACTGTTCCAATGTGGGAAAATGTTTAGCTTAGTGGGGTGGACGTTTTTGTTTTTTTTTTTTAATGAGCTTACTGGTTTCTCACCTCTTCAAAGAATGGCTGCTTTGACCACAAAAATTAGTGTCATAACTGACAGGAAAGTAATACTGTTGCATGATACACCTCATTGTGATAGGTTGTCTCGAGCAGGAATCCTAGTTTTAAGCACAATGCCCTACCCATCTTCAGCTTTAATGGAAAATTCAATAATTGTCCATTAAATTTAGGAAGCTTGATACTTGGCACAATTGGACATTCTGCACCCTGTGTTATAACAACTGAAAAAAATACTCATACCAAGCATATAGCAATATATATGTCCATTCTGCTTTTTAAGATTTGCTGGGTGAGGAACAGGAACGCATCATTTTATGTTAGGATTGGGGGTCAGAAGTTGTTTCTTAACAATCATTGTGCATTGTTTCAGGTCAGGGCCAAAACTGGAACCAAGGATTTAATAACTATTATGATCAAGGATATGGAAATTACAATAGTGCCTATGGTGGTGATCAAAACTATAGTGGCTATGGCGGATATGATTATACTGGGTATAACTATGGGAACTATGGATATGGACAGGGATATACAGACTACAGTGGTAAGAATATTTAACTTAATTTCATAACCCAATGATATTAAAATTCAGTGTTTTAAATATACTCCCATTCTGAAAATGTGGTGGGGGGGTTCATTTATTGAATTGTTTGGGGTTAAGCTCTTGATGCGTGTGATAGTCATAGGATGATTATACTAATAGAGACAGTATGGTGGTTATAAATACATTAGAATGTATGGTTTATGACTAGTTTATAATGGCTGTTAAAATATCTTAATATTTTAATATTTAGCATGCAGTTTTATACATTTAGTAGTTTTTAAACGTATTTGTAAAGAAGCCATTTCATAGAGAACTTTATTAATACAATTTTTGGCTTTTTAAAATAGGCCAGCAGAGCACTTATGGCAAGGCATCTCGAGGGGGTGGCAATCACCAAAACAATTACCAGCCATACTAAAGGAGGACATTGGAGAAAACAGGTGTGTATAAGAGAACAAGAGACCAGTGGAAATGTCTAATTTAATTTAAAGATCAATAGACAAATGAAAAATAAGTAAAACAAAACATCATGTAGCCTGTTTTTACTAAATTGTTCATTTTGATTGCTTTATGAGCCTGTTTTGCCTAAAGTGTCTATAGATCTTTAACTTTGAAGTCTTATCTCATCTTCTTTAGTATTACAGAAAAACTTAAGAGTTTTTCTGTTTGTTTTGTGTACCAGGTGGTCTAGAGGAATAATTAAACTTTTTTAGAACTATTAACAGGTAAAGTACTGAAATGGGTACAACTTAAGGAAAACAAGAATGTTGTCTTCTAACTCTGACATTATACCTTGTTTGTACCCGCCAGCGGGAACTTCATTGCAGGCCGTGTGTCACCCTGACCACGTCTATCTCTGGGGGTCGCACGTTGCGGGCAGAGCGCAAGGCATACACCAGAAAACGCTGTCCTGTGGTATGGTCTCTTCCAACTTCATGTACCAGCGTAAAGATTAAAGTGGAAAACTTCAGACTTTGGCTTCTTTTTTAATCTTTTTGGAGATTAAGTGTCTAAACTTAACTTAAATGGTTTTTTACAGGAGTTAAAGTACATAAATGCCTTTTTTCAGCTTAATCATTTTGGTCTGCTGTTTAGTGTTGTATTTCAATTGTGGAGCCTCATTTTAAGTGTTCATTCTTTAAGATTTAATGCTTGCTTTTTCTTTTTATAGCTAATAGTGAAATCTACAAACCAAAACAAGAACTTTTAAATCTGGGATATAAATTAAAGATCATATGCACAAATTAATTCGCTTTCTGGTAATATAATAAGCCTATTTGAAATTCATGTTGTGATAGCATTTTACTTGGCTTACTAGAGATGCTTCTAGTAGACCTTAATCTAGAGCATAGTTCAACCTGTGAATATGGGAAGATTGCATTCCCAGATTTTCTGAGATTTTAATTTAATATCATTTGGGAACTCCAGGGTGAGTTTATTAATTTCCCAAGGTGCATTTTGCCAATAAATATGCATGTGATCTTTAATTGTTGAAGAAAAGAATAAAGTGAGGACTTAAAACAATTCATGAAAGTGGACCTTTGAAAGCTTGTCAGAGTTACACATATCTAATTGCTGTTTTGTTTTTGTTTTTAGGAGGAGATGCTAAAGTAACTCATCTTGCAGGACGACATTGAAGATTGGTCTTCTGTTGATCTAAGATGATTATTTTGTAAAAGACTTTCCTAGTGTAAAAGGCACAACTGTGTCCAACTGTATATAGCTGCCAATTAGTTTTTCTTGTTTTTAATTTGTCCCTTGCTATCTGTGTTATGACTCGATGTGGATTTGTGTTTATACAAATTTTATTTGTATGATTTCATGTTAAACCTCAAATAAATGCTTCCTTATGTGATTGTTTTTCTGCGTCAGGTACTACATAGCTCTGTAAAAATGTAATTTTAAATAAGCAATAATTAAGGCGCAGTTTATTTTGTAAGGAGTTTTGGCCCATGGGGAGAAACTGTGGTTCTTTATAAATAGCCAGCTACAGTGTCACCCTGTTCCCTGTTTTTGTAGGTGTGTTCTATGCTCTAAGGCTTTATCCCCCTGTTAGCTGATGCTTTCACCACACCTTTGAATAATGTTCTTCCTCTCTGGACATCTGGAGACTGTCATGAGAATAACTCAGTATTGTGATTAGAAGCTTTCTAGTAGACCATGTATCTTCTGGATTGTATTTTCAAGAAAAGTACCTTTGTAACAACTTGTTAATGGCCCCTTTTTGCTTTGTTCCTTTCTCTGGAAAGCCATTTATGATTTGCTGATTATTTCTTTGACTTTAGAGTTAATTAGTGGTCTGCTAGAAAAAGCTCTGATTAATCATAACTCCATGACTTTGTTCTCTGCATAAAAATCTCCAGATACACACAAGGAAAGAGCACTATATAACTAACTGGTAGGAGCTACGGTTTAAGAGCATTGAAAGTAGTTACGACAAGGATTTTGGCAGATGAAGTTTGATCAAAAATTAGAATAATATTTGAAGTAGTGGCAGAGTAATTGTATTCTGATGTTATGTCACAGCCACCACCAGACTGAACAAAATGTTTTTGGTTTGGGCATTAGGAAGCTGTGTTAAGAGTTAACTGTTATAACGTCTTGAGTTTTTAGAAGGTCACGATAATCTCATTTTTAATGCAGTTAGTGCATGAGCTGAGTAGTTAAACATTTCCATATTCAGACATAGGGAAGGATGGTGGAAAAGGTGTATTTTTAAGTCTTAGGTGTGTTAATGTTGGCCTAAGTGTGACTCAGTTATGTCATTACAGCAATCTTCCTGGTTTATTGAAAAAAAAGTTTTATATTTAGGTTTTAAAGGACTCCTGAGTAAATACAAGTATCCAATTTTGCATTCATTGTAGTTTGAATTTAGGTGAGTTTGTTTCCATGGTTCTGAGTTAGCTGCTAGGATTAGTATACATGTTCATATGTAGAGTAGTTGATCTCAAACTCAACCAGTGTAAGTTATGCCGAGGAATCTGCCTTTTGTTTTAATTTGGTTCCTGCAGCTTTATTCCCATAATTGTGTTTGCAGGGCTATCAAGCTACAATGCTCTTGAGTTTTGCTCCCATTTTGCTATTTGACCTTACACTTAGGCCAAGTACCAATGTTGGCTATTGCAAGGGATTCTGTTTGTTCTTTAAACATGCAACTTTAGGGAATGGAAGGGAGATCGTTTCATTTTAAGTTGTCAATAGGTGCAGTGTCTAGGGTAGTGAATTCTGTAAGTTCAAATTTATGATTAGGTGACAAGTTGACACTGAGATTGTCCTTTTCCCTGATCAAAAATGAATAAAGGCTTTTTAAACAAAATCCAAACTTCAATCAAGTCTTGATATGTATGACTGAGAAAATGCACTTTTGTCTAGAGATTTTTGTCTGAGATGTTTTACAAAAAATTCAAAGGTGAGTGAGAATGCATTTGCTTTTTCTTCCAGGGGCTTTGAACTTTAGATTTAATTCTTTAGTGCCTATCAGTTCACCAGCTGATATAAATTTGAAATAAATATGCCAGGGCTGAGTGCTCTAGGCACTTCTAGTTGGATGAACTGGGTAGTTCATATTAAGGTCCCATTCCTAAGTATTAGAACTAAGCTGAGTAATTTGATAAGTTTATTAAAAGGGTGGAAGTAGAAATGGAATTCTGAAGTACCTTTGACATACAGTTATCCGTGTGTATCTTGTTAAATCCGCTTTCTGAGTTATTTTGACCAAGTTCTGTATGGTGTTACTCATTCTAACAGAAAACCTTAGCAATTTCATTGGTTAGCATGTTAGTGTGCCATAGTCTTATACCCACTTCTGTAAGATTCGTACTGTAGGATCATGTCTTGGGATACTAACATGGATGAGCAGATCCTCTTATTCTGTTACTTTTCAATGCATTTTTCAAAATGATGACAGGGATCCTTTGCTAATCTTCATAAGGTTTAATACAAGGTCCTCAGAAGAATGAAAACATTACCAATCACCAAGATTTGACTGGATGTCAACCACAAGATGATAAATTTAACTAATTAAAAAAGTGATTCAAGAACATTTTATAGGAGCTGGCCAGGTAGCTCGTTTGATTATAGTGTGGTGCTGTTAACACCAAGGTCCAGGGTTTGATCCCTGTACTGGCCAGCTGCCAAAAAGAGAAGTTGAAACAACTTTTACTTACAGGATATGTGTGTATATACCATTTGAGTTCATTCTAATGTTGAGCAAAATTAGGAAATGTGATATTATACAAATCCCTCTTAAAACAGTCTGCCTAATTTGTCATCTAATTTATGGTCTTGAGCAAAAGTGATGCAACTTCTATGTGATCTTTTTATAAAATCATTTCAAAATGTATTGCCGTAAAAATACAGGCTGTTCTTTTAGAATTGGTTGGGGTTTTTTGTTTTCCTGTGTTGAAATAGTCTACTTGGATGTGGAATTTCAGCAAGGTTTGGTTTAATAGCAAAAAATAACACACCTTTGATTTCTCAAACACTACTTTTTATGCTGTAGGAAAGGATATAGTGGTGATGTGGGGATTACAGAGGAAAGTTGAAGATTTAAAAGATTTATTAACTTGTGCTACTCTGGCAGTTTAATCTGTAGTTTTACACTCAGTATTCATTCAAGGAAGTGTACCCATTTGGGGAGGTGTATTATAATCTTCGGAGAGTGGTGAGACAGTTATAGTTTGAAGAAATATATTCAACATAATCTCTGGTTAAAATCTGGAAATCTCAAATAACAGGAAATTCCTAAGATTTTGGTTGGTTTCTCAGAAAACAACACGAGTTAGGGGCCGGCCCATGGCTCACTTGGGAGAGAGTGGTGCTGATAACACCAAGGCCATGGGTTCGGATCCCATAAAGGGATGGCCGGTTGGCTCACTGGGTGAGCGTGGTGCTGACAACACCAAGTCAAGGGTAAGATCCCCTTACTGGTCATCTTTGAAAAAAAAAAAAACACGAGTTAAAAAATGAGAGAAACAGGTTGCTGTTCCAATGGTTAACTCCTTTTGAGGATCTGACCAAAAATGAATTATCTTCAGACCAAAAAAACCATGTCTATACATAAATACTTAAAATGCAGTTTGGGGAAAATTAAAGACTTCTTTGACAGCCAAGTGGCTTAAAAGGCTCTTGAAATTGTTGCCTTTATGGTAACTATTGAGTTTACTGCCATTGACGGGGTTGCACAAAGGGAATTGAGTTCTCTCCATGGGTATTTGTGTTGGCTGGTGAACACTCATATAGGGTGATTGTTTTATTAGTGAGAGGGGTGATCAACCCCACGAAAGGTTCTACTCAAAACCTTGATTAATCCCCTAATTTTCAAGTTGGGGAAGTTATGTCAGAAAACACCAGCTCCGGTTACATTTTGGAATCTGTTAAACTATCTGGCTTATTTTACCCCTTGAAGCATTTTGTCACTTTTGTGAATGACCTTTAAGGATTAAGAATGGTCAGTAATGTTAGCAGAAGGGGACTTCAAAGTGTTTTTGGAAAGATTCGTATCATTTTTAATTGTTTTTTACAAACTTTGAAGTACCTTCGTACACTTGGTTTATAAATGCCTGAGACCTTTTGTAGGAAAGTAGGATTGTATTACAACTGATCCATTCATGTTCCTCTGATAAAACAAGGCTGGATAATCTGAGTAACTACTCATTCCTATGAAAGATCTGTCCTATGACATTGACAGTGATTATTTAGGTTGCTCTTGAACCATGAGACACTTAGGACATACACATGTTCATAGACTGCAAGCAGAGGAATGAGAGCGTGAATAATGGGCTAAGTGATATTTGAGAGTAGTTTCCAAAATTTTCATTACTGGGAAGCCCTTTTTATATTTTCTCATAGATTATATGTTCTGAATGGCTTTACTTGTCAAATATACTTTGCTCTCATTATGTTGTGACATTTCTATTAATCAAAGGTATATAGCTGTCAATCAGAACCTTTACACTGTGATAATTGTCTTCATACCACCAAGTTAATAAAATGCCAGCCAAAATCAAACAATATTTTTGTTAGCTTGTGCAGGTTTTTTAAAACTATGTTATTTCGGGCCGGCCCGTGGCTCACTCGGGAGAGTGTGGTGCTGATAACACCAAGGCCCTGGGTTCGGATCCCATATAGGGATGGCCGGTTCGCTCACTGGCTGAGCGTGGTGCTGACAACACCAAGTCAAGGGTTAAGATCCCCTTACCGGTCATCTTTTTGAAAAAAAAAAAAAAAAACAACTATGTGATTTCTACCAGACTTTAAAAATAGTTAAAATGAGTCCAAGAAATTTCATCACTATTTTCCAGGACGTTTTAGAACTACACTTACCCTACTCCATTGAATATAAGGGAAAACGAAGAGCAATTTTGGAGTAAGCATTACTATCAAAATCTGAAAAGAGTGATATTTTAAGTACTTGAGGTATGGAACCTATTATTATTTTTTGGCAGCTGGCTGGTACAGGGATGGAACCCTGGACCTCTTTGTTATCAGCACAATGCTCTAACCAGTTGAGCTAACTGGCCAGCCCCCTCATGCCCCCCCCTTTTTTATTTTGGACCCTGGACCTTGGTGGGGTTTTTTGTTTTTATTGTGTTTTTCACTTACAAAAATTTTTTTAAAAAATTATACATTCAATGGCTAGAAATAAAAAAGACACCAAGTCATACCATTGATCTCATTTAATGTACTTTTAAAATATATATATATATTTTGGCATATATATATTTTGGCAGCTGTCTGGGCACCGTGCTCTAACCAACTTAGCTAGCTGCCAGCCCCACCCCCCCACCCCTTTTTTTCTTCCCAGCAGCTAGCTGGCATGGGGATCCGATCCCTTTATCTTTTTTTTTTTTTTTTTTTTTTTTTTTTTTTTTTTTTTC